GTCAGGGTGTTGGGTCTTTGTTTCCACAGGCTCTGTCCTGCTCTGTGTATTGTTGGCTTTGGCATTCAGGCTGGTAGCAAAATGGCTGCATAAGTTTCAGACATCACACTGAGGTGTGACACTGATCAGAGGAGGAAGTACAGTTCATCTCTTTCTGTTTCTCTTTCATAGCAGGAGACTTTCCCAGAAGCTTCATATTTCATAGACTGGAATTTGGGCCATCTGCTGTGACAATGACTACTAGTTGCCTCCCCTTCTCCCTGCCTTTCCCCCTCCTTCCTTTCACTACCTCCTGTATAGCTAACTGTGGTCATGTGAGTAAGTCCCCTGCAGTGATGGCTTCCTGTTAGTTGAAGTTGTCCAGGGCTCCTAGCAACAGTGCTGGACCTGAGACAACACAGCTAAATGACAGAAAAGTAAGCTAGTTGGGAGGGTCATCCCTGATGCATAGGGATGCCCCCCCATTGCCTAACATCTGACTTCTTTTCCCCAATAGGGAATTACATTTGCAACTTATTTAAAACCACTGTTATTTTCATTTCTTGCTCTTTTTTATAGTTATGCGACCAAACCCAATCTGATATGTATGCATTTCCCTTCTTAAAACATTCCTGGCAAATGGACTGGTGTAACCACAACGTACTAAAAATAATGAGGATCTATCTTGGGAGCCAGGATGGGTCATCTACCCTTGGTCACATGGGAAAAGGTTGAATAGTCAAATAACATGAGACCTCTCTTTGGAAGGAGGAAGAAAGGGGAAATCACTGTTGGGTAGGCAACTAACCGAGGCTGCTAACAAAATTAAGTAACTTTTCCAAGGTCACATGGCTAATTATTGGTGGAAAAGTAATTTCTTTTTTAAAAAAATATTTTTAGTTTCAGAGGTACATGTGAAGGTTTGGTATATAGGTAAGTTGCATGTTGTGGGGGTATGGTGTAGAGATTATTTCATCAAGCAGGCAGTAAACATAGTACTCAATAGTTCGTTTTTTGACCCTCCACCTTCCACCCTCAAGCAAGCCCTGGTATCTGTTGTTCCCTTCTTTGTATCCATGTATACTCGGTGTTTAACTCCCACGTAGAAGTAAGAACATGCAGTATATGGTTTTCTGTTTCTGTTACTTCACTTATGATAATGGCCCCTAGTTCCATCCATGTTGCTGCAAAGAATGTGATCTTGTTCCTTTTTATGGGTGCATAGTATTCCATGGTATGTACATACCACATTTTCTTTAGTCTACTGTTGATGTGCATTTACGTTGATTCCATGCCTTTGAAATATTATGGATAGTGCTGCGATAAACATACATGTGCATGTGTCTTTATGATAGAACAATTTCTATTCCTTTGAGTGTATACCCAATAATGGGATTGTTGCATTGAATGCTAGTTCTGTTTTAAATGCTTGAGAAATTGCCAAACTGCTTTCCACAGTGACTCAAGAAATTGACATTCAGAAAAGTAATTTAGACCTAGGTTGTCTAAAAGCAAGTTCAGTGGACTTCTCTTTATAAGCTAAGCTTAGTCAATGATTTGTCATTGATATCTTAAGGGAAATTCATACATAGCTGGGAGATGACACCTAGCTGTTAAATATTAATTGCTTCATTAATTTCCTCTTAATAAGATACAAATGTGAGCAATTACCTCTGCATTGGTGAGAATAATATGCAAACAAGTCGATGTTATACTCATATGGAAAGAAGCAGACAGAACAGACCACCTTAAAGTTATATATTTGGCCATCGGTAATAAGGTGAGAAAAATAAGCGTTGCTAATGTTGTCCTGAGCTAAATATTGAAATAGCATGCATTTACTTAGCATGTGAACCAGGCAGTGTGGAGTAAGGCAAACTGGGATTGTTTTGTGTGGTGGAACAAAGGTGATCCAAATGTGTGTTTGTGTGCTTTTTAGAGTTTGAGGCCAATTTAAAAAGCAGTCTGCACTGCACCATGCACATGGGTTTCTTTGTCAACACCATCTGGGTGCTGACTCTAAAAGTTTCGCTTCCCTTAGCATGCTGTGGCTCCATTAGGAGATGGGGCACAGCGCTTTGATTTCAAAGGTGTTTGGCCTCATTAGCTATTTATGGAACTCAATAACCAGCAGAAACTACGCTGTTGGAAAATCTTCTACCTTAACTTTAATTCACATGATTTTATTTTTTTTCTTCTGGTTTTGAGGGACTTTCAAAGTGAAGTATCAGAAGGAAACAGTGTTTTTTATATGCACATGTGTGTAGTTTTTTTCTTAGTCAACGGAAAAGATAGAAAAAACATTCTTTGTTTCTGGATAGTATTCATATAAAATTCAAAGGCAACTTTTATCTGTGTGATTGATTAACAAATTACTAATGCTGTTAATCCCAGTGAATTATACAAAATGATTTGACTGGTGCTGAAGGAGACAGGAGAAAGACATTAAATCTGAACTCTATAAAATCCCTGAAGGAGTATCTTCTGAGAAGACCAAGGAGGAAATGCTTTTTCCAAATGTGAAGCAAATCACAATATAGAATTACAGGGTTTAATAATGCATATGCAAAGATGATTAGGACTTTTGAATACATTGGAATATGGTGATAGGAAGTTTGGTACTGATACACATTTTTTTTCAAGCCTTTTATTATAAGTTAAATAAGATTTAGAAGTTGTATTGACAGTACATATGAGCAAGACTGGTTATCTTTCATCTTTTCTAAGTGCCATTTACAGAATTAATTTGTTTATTAAACATAGCATCCACTTATTATCTAAAAAAGTTTCTTATCCTGAAAATCTGAATGATTATGTGTTCCTGAATATAAAAATGTTTACATGGAAAAACTTGTTTATTTCCAGTGTCACTAATTCAGATCGGTCCCTTTGTCTCATGTAAGATAGGTTTGACATTACCAGATTTTACAGTGAACAGAAAATGCTTCTGTATCGATTGATACTATCAGCTCTCAGACAACTTGACATTCATATAAGGAAGAAATGATTTATTATACCTAGTACCTGAGGTGTTTGCTTTTTTAACAGATAGTAATATAACAAAGTATTATTAATGAATGGGGAATTTACCCATTTTGTTATGTACAGAATTCTTCTAAATCAAGTTGAATTTATTTTTTAAGGAAATAAGTACTTAGGATGTAACTTTCTGAAGGACTTTACATTAAAATGTTTCTAGACATGAATGAAGGACCTTTATGATGATAAAATAGAATAAAATATACCAAACCAACTTTTCAATTATGAAAAGGGAAGAAATCACTAAATAATAAAATAATTTACAGAAGAATTGAGACCACTCATAGCTACCTGAGAAAAACAGTTAAGATATAGTTAAAATATAGAACTACCATATGACCCAGAAACTCTACTCTTGGATATCTACCTAAAAGAAATAAACATATATTTCTGCATGGAAACAAGTGCATAAATGTTCAGAGCAGTGTTGTTTATAATAGCTAACAAGTGAAAACAATCCAAATGTCCATCAACAAATAAACAAATGTGATATATCAATACAAAAGAATATATTTAGCCAAAAAAGGGATAATTCATGTGAAAACACAGGCAAACCTTGAGAATGTTTTGCTAAGTAACGAATCCAGACCCAAAAGGCTACATATTATATGATTGGATATATATGAAATGTCCAGAATAGGCAAATCCATAGTGGCAGAAAGTGGATTCATGTTTGACGGGGGCTGAGGGAGAGGGCTGTGAGGAGTAACTGTTAATGGATATGGTTTTCTTTTTCGAGTGATGAAAATGCTCCAAAATTGATGGTGGTAATGGTTACATGACTCTGAATGTACTAAAACTCACTGGATTGTAGACTTTAAAGTGGTGAATTTTATAGTATGTGAATTATGTCTCGATTTTAAAGAAAGATGCAATTAAGATTCAAGTTTGAGAAAAAGCAGACCTGGCTAGTATTTCTAGCTTTTCCATCCACACAACAGATATTTATTGAGTAAATTGCTATGTCCCTAGTGTATTGCTATTTGTGACTTGTAGGACACCCAAGATAATTTCTGGGTATTAAAAGACTTATTAGCAATGGGGAGATGCTATCTGTCACACAGGCAGAATCTTTGCAGCTGGCCAGAGACCCCATATCCAAAAAGTACTACAGCTGTGGGCGAAGAAAGGAGAAAAAAGTACTACATCTATTTGAACACAATGAATAGAATTAGGAGTCTGATTAATTGACCAAATCACATAAAATTTGGAGAACAATAAAGACATGAGCCAAATCATACACATGTGGGATGTGAGTTTCCCTAACTCCATCCCTCATCTAACTTAAAAAGAGGAAACATTTTCCATCCACTGAGTGGGAGAAAAGCCAGGAAACTCCATGAATCAGGGCCCCCTGGATTTCTTCCATCCTCATTGCTTTGGAAGTGATTAGGTCCAATGATGAACCAGTGTCTATAAAGAATTATGCTTTGTGTATAAGCCTGTAATTTTGAAATTAATTATAAAATGTAAATAAAGGAAAATGACTTCCCAATTCAGTGCAGTTTCAGGTTGGTTCATAAGCACAATACCATTGTAATTAAAATCTAAAATGAAATATCAGAGACAGCAGGATCAAAAGCCATGGCATTTAAAATTGACCTGAACTATCACTTACTGGCAGATAATATGGCTGTGATGAAATTCCCTAGCAAGAAAAGGTCAAAGTGAATTAATGAGAGGTACAGGCTCAGGTAACACTATGTGTGTAGCCAACATAGCAACAAGGAGGTAAAAAGGATATTTGAAAATGTACTCCCTCCATCAATTATGCTCTACAATATTATTCTAACCTTGCTTTAACACTGTAGCTTCATTTTTCTCATTTCTGGGTCCAGGCAATATGGATATTTTGTGTTATTTAATTATGAAATAAATTCTCAATTTGCTTTGGTGTAATTTAATATATAAATAGATATAATTCTTCTAGAAAGTTTTGTTAGATATTAAGGTAGATATATCAAAATATAATAATGTATGCTATCAAATTATATTAAATCACTATAGTGTTGAAGCAGTCTAACAATATTCATTAATGTCTGATCAGACACTAAAAAGTATATTTTAAAAAGACAAATTTTAAAAATTAACAGTGATCAAGAGATTTAAGAAAAAATCCACATTGACATACTACTGTGATAGTTTCTCAAAAAAAAAAAAAACAGCAAAAACGTTTATGTTATCTCCATGTCAAGATACTTCAACTTAGGTTGGGGCCATATATTCTAATGAAAGTAGTCAAGCAAATAGTCACCTTGCCAAACTAGTTTTTTGTTTTGTTTGTTTTTTATTTTACTTTAAGTTCTAGATACATGTACAGAACGTGGAGGTTTGCTGCATAGGTATACATGTGCCATGGTGGTTTTCCGCATCTATCAACCTGTCATCTAGGTTTTAAGCCCGGCATGCATTAGGTTTTTATCCTAATGCTATCCTTCCCTCTGCCGCCCACCCGCTGGCAGGCCCCAGTGCGTGAAGTTCCCTCCCTGTGTCCATGTGTTCTCATTGTTCAACCCACACTTACGAGTGAGAACATGTGGTGTGCCAAACTAGTTTCTATTGTCGACTAATCATTTCTCATTCTTTAACCTGAACTCCCTGGAGAAAAAGTAGAAAGTTAATCAAGCTACTGCCTAAGGTTTCATGAGGACTGTGAAAAAAGAATGAAACATCATTCCAGCGTTCAGAGGGAATGCATTAGGCCACAGGGCACCAAGACAGCTGTCTTTGATTCAGTTGTCTTTAGAATAGGACTAACATTTAATAAAATTCCAAAGTTTGGTTGAGCCTTTATTAATTAATTAGTATAAATTCATTTATCATGGGAATTACGCTACCCGCTACACTCCTCTGCCATCCAAAGTCAGCAGTAAACTGCTCTTTCCCTGTTTCCAACCATCCCCTTCTCTAACAGACCCCTCCCTCTTCTTCATATTGCTCACTGACACTTTACATAGGAGAACTGAATTACAGTTGCGGCACTCTAAGGGTCATGTTCGGCCACTCACCCACAACGGGACTCCTTTTCACCACATTCAGCGTGGCTAATCAGGTGATCATCTGCATGAACCTTTAAGTATTAAGAATCCCCTTCCCCCTAAGTCACTTATCCTTGGGTGAATATTTTCTTTCATTACAATCTCCTTGAGAGAGGCCCAGGCCTACATCCTGAAATTTTCATTCTGTCATTTGAAATCTGCTCTCTTGAAAGATAGGCCACATCTACTACTTCACTATTCAAATATTTTAGGTCAGCATTTCCATTACTGCACAGTCTTTGCAACTTCAGACTCAACATCATTTCTTTCACGGATTTCAAAGGTGGGTCAAAGGACAAAACTTTCACCCTTTTCCCCTCCCCAGCCTCACTACCCTCTTCAGAAGTTGCTGGATGTAGCAGTGTGTTTCAAAGGTGTGACCTCCAGAGCAGTTTCATGCTCCAACCATGCAATCCACTCCATGGTCACTTTCTTCTTTTCCAAAATTCTTTTCATGCAGCCCAAGTTTCCATTGCCTGGTGTAATGCTTTTGTCAGACTTGGAGTTCATTTGAGCTTATTGGACAGTTGTTGGCTCATTAAATATTCTACCTATGCCTTTTCACAGAATTAAACTCAAGTTGCCTCTCTCTATCTAACTGTTACAATTTAAGTGAAATTTCTAATTGCTTGAATTTTTTTCAATACTTTTAAAAAATTATTATACTTTAAGTTCTGGGGTACATATGCATAATGTGCAGGTTTGTTACATAGGTATACATGTGCCATGGTGGTTTGCTGCACCCATCAATGCATCATCTACATTAGGTATTTCTCCTAATGCTATCCCTCCCCTAGACCCCCAACCCCCAACAGGCCCGATGTGTGGTGTTCCCCTCCCTGTGTCCCTGTGTTCTCATTGTTCAACTCCCACTTATGACTGAGAACATGCAGTATTTGGTTTTCCGTTCTTGTGTTAGTTTGCTGAGAATGATGGTTTCCACCTTCATTTGTGTCCCTGCAAAGGACATGAACTCATCCTTTTTTATGGCTGCAGAGTATTCCATGGTGTATATGTGCCACATTTTCTTTCTCCAGTCTGCCTAACTAAAATTTTATAATTAGTAGTCTTCATTTCACAATAAATTATGACAATGATGGTGGTCATGGTAGTGGTGGTGGTGATCACGATTATGATGATGATGAACATATATATATATATACAGCACTCTTTCCATGTGCCAGGTACATAAGTACTTTATAATTTTTATCTCATTTAATCATTTCAACAAACTTGTAGGCTAGGTAATGCTCACTGACCCTAACAAGTTTAGATGTTCACAACTGTTAGGTTCTCTTTGGTAGGTAATGGAAACACTCAAGAAGTGACAAGTGGTAAAAGTTACTGTACTACTATGTCACTACCAGCTTGTATGGAAGACCAAATTCTTCTGTACAGATAATCATTTAATAGCCAGCAGACACCAAAAATCCAGCTTGTTTTGGTAGCTTGGAAATAATCAATTTCTCTGTCTTTTCAGGTTTTCTGAGCATTTCTTTGCATGAAAAGTTTGCCTGATGCAGTCACAAATCATTGTTGGCTCATTAAAAATCCTAAGCAGTGACTTTTCTAGAATATGGCTCTACTCACTCTCTGGGTACACCCTTTCTTTTTTTTTCTTGTGAATCTTATTTTTTAATTGCATTTTAGGTTTTGGGGTACATGTGAAGAACATGCAAGACAGTTGCACAGGTACACATGTGGCAGTGTGATTTGCTGCCTTCCTCCCCTTCACCTATATCTGGCATTTCTCCCCATACTATCTTTCCCCAACTCCTCACCCCCACTGGCCCTCCCCTATTCCCCCCAACAGACCCCAGTGTGTAGTACTCCCCTCCCTGTGTCCATGTGTTCTCGTTGTTCAGCACCCGCCTATGAGTGAGAACATGCGGTATTTCATTTTCTGTTCTTGTGTCAGTTTGCTGAGAATGATGTTCTCCAGGTTCATCCATACAAAGGATATGAACTCATCGTTTTTGATTGCTGCATAATATTCCATGGTATATATGTGCCACATTTTCCCCGTCCAGTCTATCATCGATGGGCATTTGGGTTGATTCCAGGTCTTTGCTATTGTAAACATTGAGGCAATAAACATTCGAGTGCATGTGTCCTTATAGTAGAACGATTTATAATCCTTTGGATATATACCCAGTAATGGGATTGCTGGGTCAAATGGAATTTCTATTTGTAGGTCCTTGAGGAATCGCCACACTGTCTTCCACAAGGGTTGAACTAATTTACACTCCCACCAGCAGTGTAAAAGTGTTCCTATTTCTCCACATCCTTTCCAGCATCTGTTGTCTCCAGATTTTTTAATGATCGTCATTCTAACTGGCGTGAGATGGTATCTCAATGTAGTTTTGATGTGCATTTCTCTAATGACCAGTGATGATGAGCATTTTTTCATACACCCTTTCTAATGATGGGGTCAAGGAAAATGATCAGCAAGTACAGAGAGGAGGCAGAACAATTAGGGAAGAGAGAACTAAAATAGAAGTGAGGGATCAGACAAAAATTCATTTGGGCTACTTGCCACATTTCCAATTTCAAACTCCTTATCCTAAATCAGGTTAGTTCAACTATCAAGAAATAGGTGTGGCCCTTGGAACAATTTCGTGCAGAGTGACATACTACCATCTGCACGTACACACACACACACAGACACACACACACACACACACACACAGAGAGAGAGAGAGAGAGAGAGAGAGACAGAGAGAGAGAGAGAGAGAGAGAGAATGTAAGCAATACTGTTGCCTGAGACAGGTTGTTTCTGATTAAATCAGGACACCCTAGCAAATATCTCAACACTAAAGACTTCTAAGCACTGGCCAAGTTCAGTAAATTTCCTGAAAGGAAGAAGTTTAGTTCTCAGGGTGACTTGAAATGAGAACTTTTTTGCTGTTTTTATTTTAAAATGCTTTTGCCTGGGAGAGAGCACTATGTAGAATTAATATCCCCTTCTGTTTCCACAGCACCACACTGGTCAGCCTAACTTAGGGAAATTCTTTGTTGCCTTTTCTTCCAAATACCTGTTAAAGAACTTTTGCTGGGGCTTACGTCTGTATGATCAAACTTCAAATTTTCCAAGGATCTGAGGCTTCTCTGGAGCGTAGACTGGTGTTGAGATTTCTACAATAGTGCAAAGTATGATGTTTTTCACAACCAACACAAATATGCATGCTTACAATTTACCTTCAGTCTGGAAACATGTTAGTGAAGCATGAATTTCTAATTGGCTACCCACAGATGGATGTGGTACTAAGTATGCTTGAACTGGATAATATAATTTGAAGGCATTTCTAAGCGTCAGTTGACATCTATTGTATAACAAAGAAAGATTATATATGTGCGTATATATATATGTATGCCTATGCATATATATATGTAGTATATATACCTATACATAATATATATACATCAATCCAGCTGAACATAGTATATATGCATAATGTATAGTCTACATATGTGTGTGTATCTGTATATTATATACCAATTAAAATAACATTCTCAGGCATTTATTTTAAGAAACTAACCAATCTGCTCTTACCTCATTTCAGATTCCCCATGAGTGCTAGAATATTTTATCCTTGGGGATAATTAAATAAGAAAGATACAATACCAATACTGAATTACCATTACTGACTCAGTATTGGAGAATTGAGAATTATTCAAATGTGTTGAAATCTCTCTTCCCACCCTCTACATAGAGAGCAAGTCAGTACACTGAAGTTGTCCCTTGTCTGTGCCCTTGCCTTTTGGTTAAGGACTTTGATCAGCTGACTTAAGACAACCTCAGATTTGAGAGACCCTCTGCTTTTTCATGCCCTAATTTGGTCTCCAGTGGTTTCTGGTAAATAAAGTGAAGATATACCAAAGGTACCTGTTTCAGCATGACCATTGCTTTATTTGGACTGGTTAACAGTGTTTACTTAAGGCTCCCAGGCAGTGAATATCCTTCATCTCCTAGATTGCAATCTGCTAATATAATCACTCCCCATCTCTTTTGCATTGTTAGCTGTCTTTGTGTGTGTATTGTGTGTGTATGTAAACTACTTGACCTTGTATTTCATCAACTTATACCAAACTACCCCTTTGCTGTTGATGAAAACAGTATCCTTTCTACACTTAAGTACCACTTATTCAAGAGGACTATTATGTGATAATGTCTCTCAGTTAATTAGAACATGGTGTTACTGAGGTATAATTTATTTTTATAGTCATTTTATTAATGGCAACAGTAAAATATACCCATTACTTGTCATGGAACAGATCATATGCTGAATGTTGGACTTGCCTTATGTTTCTCTGTGCAAGAGTTGACTCTCATGATCACTCAAGTGTTTCCAGAAGGGAAAGGTGAGAAGTGATTGGTCAATGCCTAAGGCTCTCACAACTTGTGGTCTACAACCCTGTTTGACAGTGAGTTGTTTGGGCCTCAGTAGGAATTTTCCCACAGAAAGGATGTTCTTACTGGCAGGCTCCCAGGACCGCCCACAAATCCATTTAACCATAACAGAGCTGACAGCATTGTCAGGGCTGCAGTTGGCTTCCAAGTGGGAAGTCAGCTTAGTATTAATAGCACAGTTCCAGCTGCACTGTGGGTCCAGCAGACTTCTGATGGACGGGCCTGGGAACCAAGGCAGTCTTTGTAACATTTATGGGAAATGGAGTCCTCGTTGAGAATGGTGGAAAGACAGTACTGTGGCAGCACAAGGCCCATGGATTCTCACTTCCCCTTTCTACTGTAATCACTTCCAATGCCACTATCCAGCAGGAAGAAACCAAGGGGAATCCTAGAGGAATCCTTCTCTAGCCTTCAAGTCTGGGGAGAGCCTGCCCTGTTCCTGGCCTGGCTCACTTGGGTCGACTATTCTCATGTACAGGATATTTGTAAGTTGGGTGTTTCTAGGTCACCTGTATTTAGTTGTGTGATATGAATGTTTATTTTAATATAGTAACTCTTGATCCAGGCACAAATATATTAGAATGTAAGGTTCATTTTTATTTTTAGAAGATTTTTATTCATTTTGACTAATTTCAGTTCTGATTATGATCTTCTGCTTCTAATATTTTAAAGCCATCATTTTTATGGAAGTAAAATGTGTGTGCATGGTTGTAGTAAAACATTCAATTTGTGGTTACAACAGGAAATGGGAGAAGTGGGTGGTGCATTATGTGTGCATGCGTGTGTGTGTGTGTAATTCGAATATGACCTAAAGGATGGGTGTGTTTGTTACACCAAGACATACTTCAAGGAATTAAAAATTGTGTTGTACTAAAGGGAGGTCTTTTTCACTAATGTACTTAGAAGTACTGCAGACCATTTAATTTTTTTCCGTTGGTCAGAAGTATTATAATTAAGAGATTTTTTTCCCCCTGGGAGCTCTTTGAATACATAATTTCTTTTAAAAGATTTTTAAAGATTGACCAGCAACCGGTAAATTATTTTCTGCTAATCCCAAGTAAATGTCTCTGTAATGTAAGGGCTGCTTTAAAGTTATTTTATGGGGTACATATAATACAAAGGAAAATAACTTGTTTATTAAGTTGATTTTCTTTATTTTTTCATGATTCACAAATTGTCAGATTAATGCTGTTTGGGACAGTAGAAATGTGGAAACAGGTAAATGAATAACAATTTTAAAGTGTAAATCAACTAAATTGTATATGAAACCCTGCTGGATTCTTAGGTGGTCTCTTGATCTTTCTAAACCACACTTCTCTCTTCTAGGATTCTATTTTGCGATATAGTCATAAACACAAAAGGAAGATTTCAGCACCAAATTATATGCATATTTAAAATATTGGGCCCCTTCATCCCCTTCCAAACATTGGAAAACTCTGTGGAGTTTGATTCACCAAGACATGGGAAATTTTTCTTCCAGAATATTTTTAAGAGAAAATTCTATTTTCTGGTTATGAATGTAGAATTATAATACAGATAATCTACCATATTTAATAAGCCTCTATAGCTAAGTCTAGGTTCTCTTTAAAAGATCTTGTTTTTTCACCCAGCCCCATAGTTACATATTTGAGGGAGCGAAACTGAGCATACAGGATTTTTGGAGTGACAGGTCCATTTGAAATCATTCTGATCCAACATCTTCATTTTATAGAAAAGGGAACTGGAGCCCAAAGGGGTTCAATGACTTGAGCAAGGCTACTGCTGGTGATGGCAATAGTAGGAGTGGCCATCATTTCCTGAAGTTCTTGTTTCTGGGTTTCCTTAGGTTTTATTTTACCCTCACAACAACCTTGTAAGGCAAGGAGCCATATTCCAGTTTTGTAATGAGAAATCTGAAGTTTAGGAAGTCCTTGCTGCTCAAAATCAACAGGCATTAAGAGGCAGAGCAAGAATCCACGGATTCTGGAGGCCTGGTGGCTTCTGCCTCAGGGTATTTTCCATTGTGCCAGACATTTCCCAGGCCTAAGTAGAAATACGAGAAGCGGCCGGGCGCAGTGGCTCAAGCCGGTAATCCCAGCACTTGGGGAGGCCGAGGCAGGTGGATCACGAGCTCAAGAGATCGAGACCATCCTGGTCAAAATGGTGAAACCCCGTCTCTACTAAAGATACAAAAAATTAGCTGGGCATGGTGGCGCGTGCCTGTAGTCCCAGCTACTTGGGAGGCTGAGGCAGGAGAATTGCCTGAACCCAGGAGGCAGAGGTTGCGGTGAGCCGAGATTGCACCATTGCATTCCAGCCTGGGTAACAAGAGTGAAACTCCGTCTCAAAAAAAAAAAAAAAAAAGAAATACAAGAAGCATTCCTTCTTTATACATGTTTACTTTTAATATATCAATAGTATCTCTAAGCAATCACCTTGGTTACTGAATCTGTTGGGTAGTAGTGTGTGGGGTATTGGGTCTTCTTACCTTAGTTTTTCTGACAAAAAATAATCTCCCTCCTACTGGATTTCATAATATTCCAAAATTTGTCTTTAGCTGATGCCTCAACATATACTTTGAAATGTCTATTTTATTTAGATCGGAAGAAGAGTATACTTCTCTTCTCTCATTCAGTGATTCATTCATTTATTTATTCACTACGTATGTTTTGAATACTTACTATGTGCAGATACTGTTCTAGGCTTTGGAGATAGAGTTCTGAACAAAACAGAAACAAATCCCTGCCCTGATGGTACTTTCTTTCTAGAGGGCCAAAGGATGGCTAATACATACATAATAAAAAAAATAAGGTAAGTGAAATTGTGATAATGGTGATAGATACACAACAACAACAACAACAAAAAAACAAAAAAACAAAGAAATTTGTTTAATAAGGAGAAGAAGATACCAGGAAGACAGGGAAGGAGTTACTCCAAAAGGACTTCATCGAGAGGGGGAAATTGGGGAGTGTGTCTTATCACATTGTCAATTCAGCAAAAAATGCAGTGTCTATTAAGTCTTCAATCCCCCACCAACAGTAAAATGCTTATCCTAACTCTGTTTCTATCCGCATATCTTCCCATCCACCCTTTATGAAACCTATTGTTATCACTATTATACAGAAAAACAGGAATAACAGGAGTTATCCACAGATATAAGGGCAATACAATTTGAGAGTAAGAGAAGCTTAGTGCCTGGTCCACTTTTCCCAAACATCTAATTTATTAGAAAAGGAGCCTGAGTCTCAGAAATGTTGAAGGAGAGGGGAGGCTGGGGCGGGAGAGTTGCTTGAGCTCAGGACTTGGACACCAACCTGAGCAACATAGCAAGACCCTGTCCGTTAAAACATTTTTTTTAAATTAGCAGCTTGTGGTACCCACCTGTAGTCCCAGCAACTTGGGAGGCTGAGGCAGGAGAATCGCTTAAGTCCAGTAGGTTGATGCTGCAGTGAGCCAAGGTCACATTGCTGCATTCTAGCCTGGGTAACAGAGCGAGACCCTGTGTCAAACCAAAACAAAGCAAAACAGAAAAAAAAAAAAAAAACATTCACGTGACTAAATGACAACCTCAGATCATAATGCAAGGTGCTTATTATTTTATTTCCAGTAAATGATGTGCTGAGTTCTCATGGTGGGCCAAATGATTGAGCTGGATCCAGGGACCTCAGCACTGGCTTCAGAGGAGATGGTCTCTGGCCTGGAGGCACAGAGAAGGAACTGATACAGACAAAGCCTTCTGATCTCAAACCAGTGTTCCTTCCCCAACCCCATGATGGGGACTCTTCTCTGTTTTCTAGGGTCTCAGAGGGTGACAATGGGGTTACCATTTATATTTGTACTTCCCACTCTGTACTTCAAGTATGTCATAGGTTAAATGAAACTATCTGAGCTGACCTATGAATTAAAACCACTGTATCATTATGTCTGTGGGAAAATGCATATGGACTCTGAAACATCCAGCTATCTTAACAGACTTTCAGAATTGGGGAGGATCTAAGTTGGAAAATAGAAGCAAAGAGCACTTAGTGTCCAGTGAGGCAAACTGGCTGCCCAGCCCCTAAGACATTGACTATCTCCTAGAGAAAACACAGTCCTCTATAGTCCTCAAGGAAACATCAGATGAGATGCGAATAAGTAGTAACAGTTTCTTCAAAACTGTATGGATAAAGTTCTCTTCACTATGAAGACAAACTGATAAATAGTCATGATGGGCTATGGGGATCTATCGAGATTGCAACTCATTTAATCTGTATTTACTACTTTACCTGTGGGTTGGACTCATGTTTCTATTAATGGTAGTAGTCAGCATAGTGCCACAAATGCATGCGAAATGGCGTGGAGTGGAAGGACATGTTCTCTTAGTTATTCTGTATACTAGCAAGTGTCGTTTTCCCATCTACCTTCCATAATGGAAATGCCATGGACATTTCTGTTCCTGTTCTACAATCCTATCATCGCCTGATTGATTGGAATCATATTGCTATATAAGGACTTCAAGCATATATAAGCATTCAGAGGAAACATGAGGTTAGGTTGAACTGCAGTGGATGCTCTACCACGGTTCAAGGGAAAGATGATTATGGTTGCCTTGGCAACCATAGCTCTGCACTCTCTGTTTTATTACATACTCTTTTCCTATTTGGGAATACTTTTGAAGAGAAACAAAAGACAAAATGTTAGTAAGGTCTCATTTTCAATTTATGAGGCTTCTGGGAATGATAGAGTTTTATGTTACTACAAAAACATCTCAATTTCTTAAAATTTCCCCTAACATTGGAAAGCCCAGGCATATGAAATGAACCAAAAATAAGCTTTTACTTATGTCAAAACACAAATATCATTTTTGCTCTCATTAGAGGTAATTATTTTGTAAGGACTGAAACAAAAAGATTACTTTTCTATTTCTCTCTAGCATACAGCTGTGACTTCTATTTTTCTATAAAAAGGGAAATATTTTTGCTTGCAAATTTTCCTTAGTATTTTTACCTGTAATACTGTAATATAGTTATTCAACTACAAATAGGTATATAAATAAAATAGTCTTACTCTAGGAAATGTCTGGGTTGAGAGACTGACTGTCAAACAGTGGTATTTTAACAGTGTTAAATTTTAATTCCCAACACTTCCTCTTTTAGGTTTCCTTTGTAGACCCCACAAGTTTTTAATTTTTTAGAAAAGAAAAGTGGTCATATTTGGGTCTCTGTGATTGTTTTTTTCTGTATTAAAGCAAAAATATGGTATAAATGTATACTACTGCATAGCTATAAAATAAAAGTCATTGAGAAATATATTTTATTTTGTCCACTCACTTGTTATTAAGTCTGTCTTTTCTTTCTTTCTTTCTCTCTCTCTCTTTTCCTTTTTTCTTTTCTTTCTTTTTCCTTGAGATAGATCTCACTATGTCACCTAAGCTAGAGTGCAGTGGCATAATCTTGGCTCACTGCAACCTCCATCTCCTGGCTTCAAGTGGTCCTCCCACCTCAGCTTACCCAGTAGCTGGCACTATAGGCACCCATCACCATGCCTGGCTAATTTTTATAGAGACAGCATTTCACCATGTTGCCCAGGCTGGCCTCGAACTCTTGGGCTCCAGCCATCCTCCCATCTCGGCCTCCCAAAGTGCTGAGGTTACAGTGGCTCTATGGAAAAAATTTAGGTTAATACTCTAGGACAGGAGTTAGGGAACTTTTCTGTAATGGATCAGATGGTAAGTGGCTCAGGCTTTTGAGGCTATACAGATTTTGTTACAACTACTCAACTCTGATGTTGTAGCTGAAAGAAGCCATAGATAATATGCAAACAAATGGACTGGGCTGTGTTAAATTAATACTGTATTTACGAAACAGACAATGGACTGGATTTGTCCTGGGGGTGTAGTTTGCCACCTTCTACTCTAGGAGAATAATTGTTTTGCTTACTTATCTGTCCTCAGTCTGCAGGGAAGTATAGTGCTTCGGGCAAATTGCTTCTTTTATAATATATGCCTAAACTAGTGCAGTGGTGTATACCTGTAATCCCAGCTACTTGAGAGGCTGAGTTGGGAGTAACACTTGTGCCCCCAGGAGTTTGTGTCCAGCCTGGGCAGCATAGAGAAACCCTCATCTCTTAAAAAAAATTTTTTTTTTGCCTAAAAGGCCATCTTTTCACACTGCCTTTTGTGTAAAATGTCCCAGTTGTTACCATATTGGTTCTGTTAGAGAGAAAGGCAGGGGGTTACACACTTTTGCAACTCATTAAGGAGGGTAGATATCAATAATAATTTCCTTAGTTTAAAAGCTGTTAGAACATATAAAAAAAATCAGCTACTAAGATTTCCTTACACACTGGCTGAACTGCTCAGTTAGAACTGCTCTTGAATATCCAAGGCCTGATGCGCCCTCCCTGCATAAGCTGGCAATATAAACTGAGGTATACACTGTGGGATTCGGCCTTGGACCCCAGCTGCTGTCCCCATCCCAGTGGGGTCTCCATAGTCACCTGGCACCAACAAGAACTTGCTTTCTTCTTTATTTTCCTTTGAAGAATTCACTGGTGCTTTGTTCAAACTGATTTTAACATCCCCTTTGAATTTTAATCAGATACTTCAAAGAAAAGTATAGAAAAATGAAAACAAATACCTATATATTTGTTACTCAGATTTAATAATGGTTAACATTTGTTAACTGCTTTGGATATTTTTATCATTTTAAAAATAAAGAATACACTTACAGACACAATTGTAACCCAAGATTTTTCCCCATTCCAACAATTTCTAAAGAGGCTATTGTCAGAGGAATCTGAATTCTTTTCCACTTATTAAAATTGGTTATTGAGAAGCAAAAGAATAGAATATCGATTTTATAGTATATATTCAGACCATCATTGGTGCATAGTATGACCAATTTGATCCAATTTATATGGTTTTCTGCCCATAGAAGACTGAATAATACCATGAATCTACTCCCAAGAGAGACTTAGGGAGTACATCACATCCCTTTCCTATTGGGAATGGGGTATGCATCTAAGAGACAATAAATATAAATCATTCTAATTCATAATAAAGAGCTGGATACATTTTTCACTTTCAGTGGCAACTTTGAAAAGTGCATTATTTTTCTCTGCTGCCTTTAACATACTTATTGCCTTGTGGTACAAATGCTTTCATAAATGTTCTCTCATATGATCTTGTGTGGTGGTTAGAACAGATGATGTTAACAGCTCTTTCCCAGGTCAGGGCATGGATGTACTGAGATGCCTGTACAGTGCCTGGCAGTCTTGGCTGCACCTTTGTACCACTTACTGAGCTTTGAAAAGGCACTGATCCTGAGCCTATCCACAGAGGTTAAAGCCAGCCAGGCTGCAGGGCATCAATATTCTTTTTTTTTTTTTTTGAGACAGAGTTTCACTCTTGTTGCCCAGGCTGGAGGCCAGTGCACAATCTTGGCTCACTGCAACCTCTGCCTCCCGGGTTCAAGTGATTCTCCTGCCTCAGCCTCCCAAGTAGCTGGGATTACAGGCACCCACCACCACCACTCCCAGTTAATGTATGTATTTTTTTCAGTAGAGATGGGGTTTCACTGTGTTGGCCAGGCTGATCTCGAACTCCTGACCTCAGGTGATCCACCCACCTCTGCCTCCCAAAGTGTTGGGATTACAGGCGTGAGCCACCGCATCCAGATGGGCATCAGTATTCTTAATTGATTCTACTGTACTGCCGAGGTTGAGAACCCCCAGTGGACCAGTGGCTCCCAACTAGGGACTATTTGCCCCCACAAGGGGACATTTGACAATGAGACATATTTGATTATCACAATTGAGAAGGGGTATCCCCTGGCATCTAGTGGGTAGAGACCAGGGATGCTGCTAAATATCCTACAGTACCCCACCAACATAGAATTATCTGGCCCCAAAGGTCAATAATGCTTATGTTGACTAACCCTGATTTAAGCTGGACTGAAGTCCCTCTGACACTAAATCATATTGTTGTTTCCTTAGTCTCAAGTTGCTAGGTTATTCAAATTAGTCATCCTGTTATTATTGCTGCTAATAAAATATATTTTAAGTAGGTTGCTCTTCAGAACTACAGTGTTTACAATGACTTTTTAGTTTATCAGGACCAAGTGATCTTGTGTCATAACCATACTAGGATAGGCAAAAATTCTTATATTTCTTCAATTACTTTTGTCAAAATACGAAACAAGCAAACACACAAAAAATAACATACCATCAAAAAGAAGAGCTATTTCTCAACATAAATCGCTCTGTATGTATTATCCCAAATAAGCGATTTGTATCATATAAAGCAGTGGATTTCACACTTGAGAGTACATTGACGTCACCTAGAGGACTTGGTAAAATACTGACTGCTGGACTCATCTCCAGAGTGCCTGGTCAGTAGGTCTGGGGTTGGGTTCAAACAGTCACATTTCTAATAAGTTTCCAGCTAAGATTCATATTTCTTATTATGAATTGTTAATTGTCAAAGTATAATCCCTAGGCAAGAAATATGAATTTCTCTATATTAGCATGTCAAATGAATATTAACGCAGGATCATCTATTATAGCCACAGGTATATATTCCTAAACATTCAAAAATCATTTTATCATAGTATACAAATAACTTAAAATATGATTCAAGAAGTACAGAGGGCTTCCTATTTCTACAGTTACAATCAGAACAGCCGTATACAATCAGACCTTTTGCTACCACTTGTAAGAGCAGCAAGAGCTAGCTACAGCAAGTGTTGCTTAATAACAAGCCTAAGAGTGTTAAGAATGCACAGAATCTACCTGATCAGAAATGAAGGGGTGCCAGTTCACTGAGATGCTTTTAAATGCGTCTGGTCAATGAGAAAGTTGATATTTTCTGTTTCTTGTGTATCCTTTGAATTATATATAAGTGCTTAAGTGAAAAAAATGTCTTGGTCCAAATTCCCTTAGCTTTTGATACATTAACATGTTTATGAAAGTGGATGGGATATCTAAAATTTTATTGAAGTATATTGCCTCTCTATAAAATAACATATCTTAATTCCTTAAGTAATCAAAATATTTGGCAGAGGTGGCTAAATAATGTTAGATTCAAGTATGGAATTTGAAACCCATTTCAAGCATTTCAAGAACAAGTCAGTGATTCATCCAGTCAATCAGCCAAAGACACTTTAATTACATTTGTCACAATATAAAACAAGCAAACAAAGTTTAGAAGACAGACAGTAGTGACATGGTGTTTTGTAAAAAAACATTTCCATAGTACTAGTGCCCCCCTTTTGTTGTCATCCAGTAGAAAGAAGTGTATACATTTGTGAAAAATGCATGAGAATAATAAAAATGTTTAAAAATCCACATTTTCTCCATTTAGATGGACTTTTCTTAAACCAGTCAAAAGTTAGATGTTACAGTGTATTTTTTAGGAGTAAAAATCTAAACCCCAAAGTGTCAGAATTCAAGAGTACCCGTCCCTTATTTCCTACAAGAGCTCATCTGAATCCCTTGATAGTAAAGATTTTCTTTCTTTCTAGAACCTGACATGATTTCTAGTACATACCAAGTGATAAATACATTTACTTTCATTTTATAAATTAGGTAAATTCACTTTCATTGAATTTACGTAAATAGCTGTATGAGAGGTCCATGCATTTCTATATTTCATGAATTTTGAATTATATATTTCAGTCCCATTTGAAGTTAGAATCCTTATAAAGAAAATCCTGAAGAGGATCCAGACTGTAGTTTCCAATGTGCAAATTTTTAATTGTGAACTAGAGAATGAAAATAAAGGAAGGTTATTGGAAAATTTTCCAAGAACCAAGCCTTTCTGTTGTGCTGATATTGATGATGTATGGCAGTCAGTAATGAGACTACCAAAGGTGAACTGAATAATCCCATACCATAAAATGTTACATAAACTTTAAACTGCTAAGAAAATCTAAACATTAAAAAAGTACCTATTCGCAAAGTTCCGCTGTTGTGTGTTTAAGAGCAAATTGGGAGGTTGCTATGGCATTACTTATGCGTGCATGGCAACAGAGTGAACTCAGTGTTTCAGCTTGATAAAAGAGGAAATTAGCTCACCATTTCCCTTCCCCAAATCAGATTCAGATATCCAAATATTTCGTTTTGAAATGGTATATCCATCAACACGTTCTAATGGATGAAAGTCAATAATGGGGGTGGGGTAGGGGTGGGGGAAAGGACATAAGATGAAATTTGTATGTCATGTGCTTACTTTAGAAAATGCAACTTGTCTCTAACCAGTCTATTCATAGCTCTGCATCCTTCTTCCCCCTTGATAGGATGGGGTTTCTCAGTGCGCATCTGTTAGGTGAATATACAATGATGAGTAACACTTTGGCAAAAGACAGCAATTTATCAGCCCATATAACTTTGTTCTAATGAAAGTGGATCATCCTGGAATTTGAGGAAGAAACATTGTTCAGCTGTGAAACTATAATTCCCTGTGTGTAACAGCCCTCCAGGGAAGGAGTAGATTTTGCCAGCATAATATGTGAAGTTTAGTCATTATCAACTGCACAAAGCAGAGGTCAGGCGTGGGTGTACATATGGGAGGCACCATTGTGAAATCAACCCACAGCCACTGCCCTGCTGGGTGATCCAATACAAACAGAGCCAAATGTCACGAATAAATGCTGACATTTTATCACATGATTAGTTTAAATATTACTACTGTGTCTTTTCTTGTATTGTTTATCTTTCACATCTTTATTTTGTTTCCGGTTTCCTTTCTTTCAACTGATAAATGAAAAATAGGGAAGTATGGTTTGAGTCAGTACTTTGACCATGAACACAGGAAGTTAACTGAACCCACCACCATCAAAAAAAAAAAAAAAAAGGCTCCAAATTGTGAATCTTACATTTGTTCTGGATTGACATGGGTTTGGGAATCATAATTTTATTATTTTTTAATTTTACATAGAGTAAAATTGACCTTCTGGGTGGTATGGTTCTATCAGTTTTGACAAATACATATATCACAATTGTGATACAGAAGAATTCTCTCATATCCCACCCCCACCTCTGCCACCACCACTAAGTCTCCTCATTCTGCCTTTTTATAGTCAACCCCTGTTTTCACCCTCAGGCCCTGGCAACCATTGACCTATTGGAACTGTACTAATATGACTGTTTTCTTCCACTCTATCCATTCATGCAGCAGCCATTTATTGATAATCTACTATATGCTGAGCTCCATTTTAGGTGCTAAGGATGAAATGGTGAACAAGACTGACATAGATCTATCTAGAAACAAGATAATAAACAGCCGTAAATCAGTAATTCCAAATTGTGGCAAATGATGTGTAAAGAACAGAAATATTTCTGTGATAACGGATATCCAAAGACAAAATCTATTTTAGATAGCGTTAGAATTTTGCTCTGAGACGGCAGCATATAACCTGAGGACTGGAGGAGGAGAAGAAACCAGCTATGTGAGATGGGCAAGGGTTTGACACATGAGGTAATCATTTCGAGCAAAGGGAACAGTGTATACAAAAGAGAGTTGGGAGTCTAGTGAGTGAAGGGAGCAATGGCATGGTCTACTGTGGATAGATAGGCAGAGCCTCACTAAGGGGTGTGTACTTTATTGCATTTAGAAAATCCGTGGTAGATTAGCAAGAATGTATACAAGGGACCAGTTGATTTGCAGCCACCATCCAGTTGACTGTTAATGGAAGATTGGGCTTTGAAGCAGCTGTGGAGTTGGAGAAGGGATAGATTTGAAATATATTTTAGAAGTATAAGCAACAGGACTGTGTGTTTAATTAGATATGGCAAGTGGCTGGTGAAGGAAAAGGGAATCAAATGTGACTCTCCAGGTCTTGCTTGAGCAGCTGGGTGAGTGATGATATTTACTAACATGAGTAAAATAGAGAGGAACAAGATTGTATTGGGGGAAAATTTAAATGCTGGGGTTTTGGGCAGGCTGAAATAGAGAACCCCATTAGACATCCATTTGGAAATGTGAGACCCCTAGATGGGTACATGTATGTAGAATTCAGAGGAAAGCTCAGAGCTGGAGAGAGAAATTTTTGTCATTTTTAAACTTTTAATTATTCATTATATAATTAATATATAATTTAAATATATTTATTGTTAATATATTTTGATATGTTAACATTAATATAAAAATACATTAACAATTTGTTCACTGATATTTACTGAGGGCCCACTGTGAGGGAGACTTAGGAAATCGGGGCATGATGCTGAGTGCAAGCCTGCATGATCTGAGGCAGGCTGGCAGGAGAGATAGGATTTCGTTAACAGTCACACAGATTATGTGTAAAATTAAAGTGACCTCAGTACCACAAAGGAGGAGAGGGTACTTTGAAAGGGCACAAGAGGGAGATTTGACTGAATCTGGGTGGAGGTGAGGGTCAGGAATGGCTTCCCTGCACATTAAAGAATGAGGAAGTGGGAGAGGATATCAGGTTAAAGAAAGAACATGAATAAAAGGCGGTGTGGTAGAAGACCAGAGATTTTGGTCCTCAGATGCACTGTGATTCCAGTTTAGAAGTCCAGAAGGGTATCCCAGGAGCATCTCAAGCACTTTAGGCAATTCACATTCCTTCAGCAAATATTTGTTGAGCACCTGGAGTGTGCCTGAGATTCTTTCAGGTGTTGGGAATTCAGCAGTTAGTGTGCAAAGGTTCTTTCCCTCATGAAGCTTGTTTCTTTCTGGTGGGGCTGATTCAGGAGGTTCACAAATTCCAGGCACATCTTGAGAAGGATTGACTAAGAGATGTTGTCCTGGAACAGAGCCATGAGGAGTGCCAGCATTTAGAGCTCTAAAGGAGCAGAAGCAACATCAAAAAACCTAGAGCAAGTGGCTAGTGAAGGGAAAAGAGAGGAAAGGGGTGCATATAACAAAAACTGGGGGAGAAAACTGATTCCAGATGGCAAGGCTAATGAATGGCCAGCTAGGTTTAGTGGTGTTGAGGAGTCAAGTAGAATGAAAACGGAACAGTTCCCCTTCAGCTTTACAACATGGCAGCATTGGGAATTTTTACCAAACCACTTTTATCTGAATAATGGAAGTAGAAAACAGATTGAGTTGCTTTAAAGAGTGTCTGGGAAGTGAAAACTGAGAAAGTGAGAAGACGTTGGCAACTGCAAAGTGAGAAATTGCTGATGACTTTGGAGAAATTTGCCTTCAGTTTGGGACTTCATTATTGTCCTGCAGGAAAGCGTCTTCTGGTAGTAGTGAGATTAACTTACTTTTGCCTAACTTGTCTATCTAAAAGGAAGAAAGTGGTAATACATTATAAGATTGAGATTGCTGAGGACGAAATAAGTATATGCATGCAGTGGATACTCACTAAAAATAAGGGGTTGTGTTTATAGTGTTTTAAGTTTACCAATGCCACCCACCTGACATGAAACTTTTAGTAATTATCTTATTGTATTTGAATTATTAACTGATACTCAAGGGAGGGAATAGAATAGGTTAAGCAAATTGCCCTAATAATGCTACTCATAAGCCATGGCCCTTGGAGAATTTGAATCATATTTGCTATGTTTTGGGCATGGTTTGTTTGTCTCCATCAAATCTCATGTTGACATTTGATGATTGGCATGGTGATATTGGAGATGGGGTCTAGTGGGAGATATCTGGGTTACAGGGATGGATCCCTCATAAATGGCTTGGCGCCCTTCTCATGGCAGTGAGGGCATTCTCACTGTCTTGAGACTAGATTGTTTCTCAGGGGAAATGATAGTTCCTGCAAGAGTGGGTTGCTAGAAAGCCAGGACGGCCCTGGGTTTGGTCCCTCTTTGCACGTGCCTACTTCCCTTTGACCTTCTCAAACATATTTTAATGCGGCACAAAAGCTTTTGATGGAATCCAAGCAGATGCCAGTGCCCTCTATCTTGTAAAGCCAGCAGAACTTTGAGCCAAGATAAACCTCTGTTCTTTATTAACTACCCAGCCTTAGCTATTCCTTTATGGCAACACAAAATGGACTAAGACAACATATTTTGACTTGGTTCTATGCTATGTTTGCTCCACTTGGTGTTGTAATTTTATTCCCCTGTAGGAATTGTATCTGCTTAAGTGAAGACTGAGTATTCATCTGCTTTGTATCTCCACATCACATTGTATTTAACCCAGTGCCTGGCATAGTTTTCATTTGTGAGTGGAATTGATTTCTCAGCCCTTGGCCCAACCTTCTTGGGCTGCTCTTGTTTTTGAAGCTCCAGTTTATATTCAGGAGACATGCTTTGGACTTCAGACCCCAAAACTAATTCATGTACACATATTGTCAGTGGAGAAAGTGGGAGAGAGTAAAGGGTGGAGATAGCTCTTGAGCATAACAATAGAAATGGTATGATGTTAGCAGAAAATTAATACGTGCACATTTGGTTGTATTGAGAAATAAATACTCTAACATTATCAGGAAGCAAATAAAACTGATAATTGCTAGGTGTCAAATATATGTAGTAGATAATGTAAAAATGCATATGTGGTGTATGTATACTATGTAATTGTATATTCTATTATATATCACATACAATGTACATTTATATATCTATAGATATCTACCCTTGTTCATTTTTTCCTCCAAAATGAAATACTTTTACTATCAGAGAGTACCAAGTAAGAATATTACCAGGACACTTTGGGAGGCCAAGACGGGTGAATCATGAGGTCAAGAGATTGAGACCATCCTGATCAACATGGTGAAACCCTGTCTCTACTAAAAATACAAAAATTAGCTGGGCATGCTGGTATGCACCTGTAGTCCCAGCTACTCAGGAGGCTGAGACTGGAGAATTGCTTGAACCCAGGAGGTGGAGTTGCAGTGAGCCGAGATTGTGCCACTGCACTCCAGTCTGGTGCAACAGAGTGAGACTCTGTCTCAAAAAAAAGGAATATTCCCAGGAGGGTCAGAGATTGGGATGCAATCTCAGAACCCATTAAAGAGCCTGGGGACAGGTGGGCTGGAGGAGTCCTGTGGAGAGCTTGAAAGCTGTCTCTCGCCTCTTGAAAGAAAGGACTATGGGGGATGAAGTAGACTGATTCAGTGTACATCTCCTTGGGATATTACTTACTGACTTTTAGGCATTACCTAGGACATGCATTTAGGGAATGTTCCAGTATCATGCTTGGTTGCATTATTTCCCTGTAGTGGCAAAAAAGGCCTGCAGAAGCCGTGCATTCTGGGTCATTACTAGAACCCAGATGAGTATTGCTTGGGAAATGGAGAAAGAAAATGGAAAGAGAGCACTCCAGAATTCTTTCCCAAATCTCTTGGGTTGAAACATCTTAAATTGCTGTTCTGTTTTTATATTTCCAAGACGGTCAAATAGTAATCATTTCATGCAGCTCCACCAAAAAGTATGATCCAGCTACTATAGAGATGTGGACGTTGGAAGGCCTTCTTGTTGGTTTAAAGTTTTGCCAATTGGTAGACATCTGGGGCTGTATATTAAGGTCTCTTGATTTTCTGAGCCAGAGCAAAGGCATTCTTGTTCTGTCTCTATTTGAATAGTATCTTGGGTGATAGAGTGCCAGCATCATCTATTTATTACCCTTAATGCTCACTGACTATGTGAAAAGAAAGGAAAAGACCTTTAAAGCTGGGGTGATTGTCTAGACAGTCCTAAAATAGCTGTTCCAGGTGCAAAGGAAGCCATAAAATGCAGACAAAGCATGAGGCTCCTTTGGCAAAAATACAGTGTTTTTGAACTCTCATAGGCTCCTTGTAAATTATGAAGTAGAAAATGGCCAGGAGACGAGATTCCAATAATTATAATCATTAGTTATTTTAAATTACCATCACTTATTTCACACAGAGGCATTTTCTGTGTGCTAAATTATATTTAAAATATTTTAAAATAATTATTTGGATAATTCAGAGCTGAAATAGTCCAGGCTGAACTATTTAGCAAGCTGAAACACCTGTGCAAGCTTTAATTCAAAATATACTGAAAATTGACTTCATTTTTCACTCCACTGTGGAGGTCTTGTAATATAAAACAAGAACAGTACCTTCAGTAGGAGCCCATGCCCCATTGGTCTGCATCTTCTTGCTCTCTACTCTGTCCTGTGGCTACCCACTGTGCTCTCAAGGTCAACCATGACCCTGCTGCACTCCAGCCATGTCCTCTAGAGGATCTCTGCCACCTTTCACCCAGGCCTCCCCACCATGGCCTCTGCCAGAGCCAGCTCCTTGTGGGCCCATGTGGAAATGAGACCTCCAGATCCCATCTTGGGAGTCACCAAAGCCTTTAAGAGGGACATCAATAGGGAAAAGATGAGTCTGGGAGTTGGTACCTACTGGGATGAAAAGACACCCAGTTAGATCCCCATAAAAAATTTAGACAAAGAATACCTGCCCATTGTAGGATAAGCTAAATTTTGCAAGGCATCTGCAGAACTAGCCCTGGGTGAGAACAGCAAACTGTTGAAAATTGGCCACTTTATCACTGTGAAGATCATTTCTGGAACTGGGGCCTTAAGAATTGGAGCCAGTTTTGTGCAAAGATTTTTAAAGTTTTTGAAGACAGATGTCTTTTTGTCCAAACCACCTTGGGGAAATCACACACCTCTCTTCAGGGTTGCTGGCATACAGCTACAAGGTTATCAGTATAATGGCCCCAAGACTTGCAGTTTTGACTTCACAAGTGCTATGGAGGACATTTCAAAAATACCAGAGCAAAGTGCTCTTCTCCTGCGTGCCTGGGACCCTCATGCAAAGCAGTGGAAGGAAATAGTAACAGTGGCAAAGAAAAAGAATCTCTACATTCTTTGATATGGTCTACCAAGGCTTTGCCAGTGGTGATGGTAACAAGGATGTGTGGGCTGTGTGCTACTTCATTGAACAGGGCATTCACGTTTGTCTCTGCCAATCATACTCCAAGAACATGGGCTTTATATGGTCAGCATGTGGGAGCCTTCACTGTGCAAAGACAGTGAATGAAACCAAAAGAGAAGAGTAACAGCTGAAGATCCTGATCTATCCCGTGTATTCCAATCCTTCTCTCAATGGGGCCTGTATTGCCTCTACCATTCTGAACATCCTGGGTTTGCAAAAATAATGGTTGCAAGAAGTGAAAATCATGGCCAACTGCATTAGTAGCGTGCAGATTCAGCTGATCTCCAACAGTAAGGAGGGTTCCTTGCACATCTGACAACACATGCCTGACTAAATTGGCATGCTTTGTTTCACAGGGCTAAAGCCTGAACAGCTGGAGAAGCTAACCAAGAAGTTCTTTATCTATATGGCATAGGATGGCTGCATCTCTGTGGCAGGGGTCACCTCCAGCAACATGAGTTATTTTGTCTGTGCCATACACCAGGTCACCAAGTAATGTCCCTGGTGTGAGGGAACAGATACAACTTTTCTGTTTTCAGCTGCTGCTACTATGAGCTTCACATGGAGGATGAGGGAGGGTAGATGCTGGTAAGTAGATCATTTATTTCAACCACAATGCATAACACTGAGTGATTGAATGCATTTCTCAGAAAAGAACATGTAATGACATTGGGCAGAGGCATCTGTGACTGGTGTCTGGAACTTTGTCACTCTAAGCCAAACTCTCCCCCATCTTTCTATTTTCAACTTTTCTCAAAGGGTTTACATGTGCAAGAAACTCACAGCACCAAGAAACCTGCCAATTATGCCACTATAATATTTCAGAAGCTTTAACTGAAGCATCTTAAGTTGTCAGGGTTCTTCATGAGAAATAGCACACATTAGAGGCTTTGAGAGAAGACCTAGTCCTGTCATTAACAATTGGTCTCATGTATGTCTTCCCATGATGGAGCAACCTTATCAACAGAACATATTGCAGAAATTGTGTTTTATGAGAATAAATGAGTCCGCTGACACTGCAGCAAGGAAAATAAAAGGTGCTCTTTCCTGTCTTATTTAAGAAAAAGAGAAGGCTCTGTCTTCTCCCTTTTCAACCTGTCCTTTCCCTTATGCACAAAGATTTTTAACTGACCTAGATTTTCATCCCATTCTACTGCTGGATTGACCATCTGCCCCATATTAGTCTGTTTTCATGCTGGTAATAAAGAGATACCCAAGACTGGGTAACTTATAAAGGAAAGAGGTTTAATTGACTCCCAGTTCAGCATGGTGGGGGAGGACTCAGGAAACTTACAATCATGGTGGAAGGGGAAGTAAACACATCCTTCTTCACATGGCAGCAGCAAGGAGAATTGCTTCTCAAAAGGGGCAAAAGCCTCTTTTAAACCATCAGATCTCGTTAGAACTCACTCACTATCATGAGAACAGCAGGAGGGTAACCATCCCCGTGATTCGATTACCTTCTACCAGCTCCCTCCCATGACAAGTGGGGATTATGGGAACTACAATTCAAGAGGAGATTTGGGTGGGGACAGAGCTAAACCATATCAAGCCCCATCCTACTTGGATTTATTTAAGAATAAAGAACATAATTTTCTACTGATGCCATAGCCTCATTTTTCTTAGCAAAGAATAGTGGAAAAGGTAACTGTACTTTATGTGAGCATCCTCTTCAACAATTGTGTAATTGTCTCCTGCTGGATGTTGCCTCTGCCCAGTTGGACCTCCTCTTTTCATTGAATATAGTTGTATAGTCTCTATTCTCACATCATGAGTCAAGTAGTACAGGAAAGTACCAGGAAGAGGATATTCTAGGCTTTGTGTGCTGCTATCTGGGTTCAGGCTTCACCCTTTGGAAAGATAAGCACCGTATGCTCTAATCATACAGACTTCTTGCAGCCTGGATTCTCTGTTACAATCAAATTACTGTAGACCCTACCCCTAAAAAGGAACAAGATCATTTATGTAATTCTCCATCAAGTGATATGATATACTACAGCACTGGTGCAGTTAATAAAATTGTATCAAATCAATAATTTATTTCCAGTTAAACAAACTGTGGTATGACCATACCATAGAATACTATTCAGCAACAAAAGGGAATTAACTATTGGTGTACTCAATAATTTGGATGGATCTCAAGAGCATTATGTTGAGTGAATAAAGCCTGTCAAAGAAGGCTACGTGCTGTATGGTTCCCTTTATATATCATTCTTGAAATGATAGAATAATAAGGAAAGCAGATTCGTGGTTGCTAGATTTAAGATGATGAGTTAAGAGGGAGATGCAAGTAGCTATAAAGGGGTAACATAAGGAATCCTTGTGGCAATGAAACTCTTCTGTGTCCTGACTATTGTGGTTGTCACACAAAGAAACGTGTGTGATAAAATTATGTAGAATTAAATACACACACATACACACATTCACACACAAATGAGAACATGTAAAACTGATGAATTCTAAATAAGATAATTGAATCAATGTCAGTTTTCTGGCTTTGACATTTACTATAGTTATGAAAGATGTTACAACTGGGGGAAGCTGGGAGAAGAGTATAGGATATGGCTCTCTATTATTTCTTGCCGATGAATATGAATCTACAGTTATCTCAAAATAAAATTTTAGTCTAAAAACGCATTTCTCAACGTGATCTTGAGTCAAACCATCTTGGAAGAGAGGCACTTTGATGTATTCACTTCACAAAGCATAGGGGTGAAGATTTCTGGTATTACCAGCAAGCCAAATCACATGACTTTCTGCTCTCTGCACCCTGTGGCCCTGCACTGTGGATAAGGGAATGTATGTCCCTCTAGAACAGTTTAGTTTTCTTTGCGTTTGTTTGTATCAAGAAAAAATTTGCAAATGAAGGAGAATATACGTGTACATATCTAAGATTCATCAGCACTCAAAATCAGAGCAAGCTAGACATCATAGAGAAGCACTGAGCAGAATATACAAAAAGAGATTAAATAATCTGATTATTCAGAGAAACCGTATTTCTAGGAGATGGATTTAAGAGAAGCTTGTTCATGAAAATGGAAAAAATATAGCAGCAAGAGGGTCACTAAGTGTAAGCAATGTCTAGTTTTTGTGACAACCACACTTGAACTAAACCTTTAAAATTTAATAAAAGAATGAAAATAAATAGTTTAGCATGAGAAGGTAAACAATCATTTGAAAATAGTCTTGCACTTGGGTACTTTGCTCTCATTGATGTAGGACTATGCCCCATTTTGTTAGTTGTTTATACATAGCTTCACAGTTTTAAAGTAAGCATAGCCAGTTATGGCTATGATTTCTCTGTAGTCAGTTATATTTGCCCGGGAAAGTCCAATCAACAAAGAGTTATCAGTTATCTTACCCATGACAACATTGTGAGATGTGAGATGCCAAGAATAGACCAGAAGAGTGATGGTTTCAGACCTCCAAAACAAATGAAGAAGACTAACACACAGTAAATCAGTAACAGATCTAAAGCATTTTAATTCACATAGAGAATTTGGTTAGTGGACATACTAAATGCCTTCACTTTGCAGCATATTTCTTAATAAACACTTTGCACTGTGTTTATTCTACCTATCTTAAACATGGTTTTACTCATGTAGCGGGAGCAGTTGGCTCATGTCTTTTATCTATTTCATTTACTAACTCTAAGGAAGTGAAGGAGAAACTTTCCCTTTGCCATTTGAAGGGTCACTGGAAAAATCACTGGTGTGAGGCAAATTGATTAATAGAAGAAAAGGAATACATATTTATTTAACTTGTATGCACAGGAGCCTTTGGAATGAAGACCTAACATAGGGGAAATTGTCCATTTTTATGCTGAGGTTCAACAGCATGTGGACAGTCGTGTAGAAATGTGATTGGATAGAAAGGGTCTGATTTGAATGCTAATGGACTGAGTCGGGGAAACCCAGCAAGGCCTGTCTGTCTAGATTCTTCTTAGCTTCTCTGAGGAGCAGTTCTTCCTTCTTGGTGTGAGAGAGGACTTTGTCTGGAACAGGAATCTTAGGACCTACAGTCAGACAAGGTAGGTCAGATCATTTCTTCCTGAACAGTTTTTGTGTAGAATATTTTTGGGTTTTATGACTGACTTTTGGGTAAAGGGGTTCTGATTTGTATGACCTATCTTGGGGAAAAGGGATTCTAATTTCTATGGCTAGCCTCGGGGCAAAATGGGACTGAGGGACAGGAGGACAGGAGAAGGTAAGAGAGAAACTTCTGCTTCTGAAACTGCTCAGCAGCAGTCTTCATTTTGAGGTACTGTTTTCTGAGCCCCAATAAGACTCTTCTAACCTGCTGAACATGTGCCCGGCACTATTCTAACAGCCATGACAATAGAGAGGAGAGGAAGAAAGGGATCCTGCAAGTTACCAGTTGGGTCCTGAGATGGTGACACCATTCACTGAGTGACTCCAAGTGATTAGCTAAATATATTCTCTTCCTTTTGACTCTGCCTCCTTCTTACCATGAGTCTATGAGCAAGTTTCTCCAGCTTCTGTTAAATATCTGTGAAATGGAAGCAATGGTGGTGTTGTGATGATTAGATGAGTAAACACATCTAAAGCATAAAGCTCTATGCCTGGCACAAAGGAAGCCTTCAGTTAACATTTATGGGTTGTGTAAAAGATCACGTTTATTTGGTTTTCAAGACCATCATCTTCAGAGATGCCAACGAGATAGTTGCTATGCTTTCTGGAATTTTAAGACCCAAGTACATCTTGTTAACCCTTGGGAAATCTAGTGGCCTCTCAGAATTTTTAAAATTGTATATTAATAAATTATAATTGTATTTATCTGGTAAAAAGTGAGGTTATCATTTTTGATACAATGTGAAATGATTAAATTGAGCTGATTAACATATCCATTACCTCAAATATTTAACCTTTTTCCTGATGAGAACATATGAAATTTACTCTCAGTAATTATGAAATGTACAGTTCTCAGTTATTAGCTATATTCACCATGCTGTGCAGTAGATCTCAAAAAAAAACTTCAAACATCTTCCTCCTTTCTGAGGCTTTGCACCTTTTGCAACCATTGCTGACATCCCCCAGCTTCACCAGCTTGGTGGAGCACCTTGAGATGTGCCGATAACAGTAGTTGGCATCTAGTCAGTGCTAAAAAATTGTTAGCCTTTGCTGTTGTATATGTGGTTGTTGTTATTGTAAAATGGTGGCTGAAATTTGTTTGTGAATATGCAGTGATGTGCCAAATAAGGACGTTTCTGTCAATAATGGACCACATAGACAACAGTGTTCTCATAAGATTATAATACCATATTGTTACTGTACCTTTCTATGATTAGATACACAAATACTTACCATTGTATTACACTTACCTACACTATTCAGTATAGTAACATGCTATACAGGTCTCTGTATTACAGGAGCAATAGGCCGTACCATCTAGCGTAAATGTGTAGTAGGTTTGTGTAAGTACATGCTGCGATGTTCACTTCATGGTCCACTAGGTCACTGGGAAGCCTTCCTGTACCTTTTTGTATATATCTCTTTGTATATCTGCCACACACAATGATAAAGCTTAGGTGTTTGTGTAAATACACTCTATGATGTTCACAATGAAATCACCTAATGATGCGTTTCTCAGGATGTATCTTCATCATTAAGTGACACGTGATTATACTTTAACAGAGATACAATTCTTGAACAGCTTGTTAGGAGATAGATAACAAAAATAAGGGTAGCATCTTTAATTATTCAATTACTAAATTAATTCATTAAAACAGCTGTCATTAATTACTTAAAGGCAGACAGGTGAAGGAAAGAATGGCTTGACATTTTCTAAATTATCACCCTTATGTGTTGCCTCTGGCTAGACAACCTGCGGCGGCTGCTGTAGCTAAGTATGTCAAACTGTTGAATACCCAAGCCAGGCTTGTGAAATATTGAAAAATGACTACTCCCATGTTGATCCATTAAATCTTTACCACCTTACAGAGAGCTGATGAATCACCTTTCTAGCACCAGGTTCAGGTACTTCCCATAACGATCTCATAACTAGTGCCAACATTGCCCAGACTCGGTAGCCTTTATGAAATTCATTATTAAAGTTTGACATTTGTTCTTGTGTAGGTGTAATGGGACTAGTCTAATTGCAAAGATGAGAGAGCTGCCATTTAGAGAAAAAGCTCCCTTCTAAAACTTGTCTCTTCTAATGAGTCACCGTAATACCTCTGTAATTATTACACTGATTGTCCTTTGTAGAATTGGATTTTTTTTGTACCCTGGGAGATTTTGATTAGAACATTCAGTTATTTTGTCTGAAGAGTGACCTAGCTATATCCGTTAATACTCTTTGGATTGGATGCATTGAAAATTAAGTTGAAATTAGAATTTTTGTACACCAAGCCTTCAGGTGCCCTTTAGCAACTTCGGGACATGAAAATGTCTCTACACTCAGTAATAAGTTTTGCTGATAAGTTTTTGGTGGTGAAAAAATAAAATATCTCAAGCTGCAGAAACAAAGATTTTCCCAGAAATTCTCAACAACTATGAGGATACGTAGAAGTTCTGCAAGGGCAGACACTCATATATCATTAATCCTTGACAGAGTTAGTAGGAATCCTTTGGATTTCAGCCAGTGTGGCAGAGTACCCTGAGACATGGCAGAAGAGAATGGTGGTGGTCAGGCACTGAATTCAGTTAACTATTACTGGTTTTTAAGAACTCATGATGCATTCACATAGAATCTTTGTCAACTTCTCAAAAATCCTAGTAGAGTGAGAATTTTATCCCCATTTTAAAAGTGAGCCATGTAGGTAACTTGCTCCCAAATTACTCAATAAATGCTGCATCTGGATTAGAATCTATCTGAGGCTGGCTTCCCCATCTGGATTTCAGCATTACTCCATTAGTGCTCCCCACCCTATCCAGCCCTATGCTGGTCCACTAGTCACTGGTATACCTTCCTATACCCTAACTATATCTCCCACATAGAATAATAATGCTTAGGTATTTGGAGATGAATGTGCAAAGTTCAGAAATGACGTTAGACAACGTTTTATCTTCCTTCACAATGAAATAAGAACAATTAACACCAATGTAATACCAAAACAGTTTACAAAAAAAGTGATTTTCTTGTAATGTGAAGGATTTAATGTAAACCATCACCGAATACTGTTTGAAAGGGTTCCACATTAATGCATGTCAGAGAAGCAGGCCTAAAGACTAAATCAGCAATGTCTATGTTGATGCTTTTGGCCTGTAAAGTATCTCTAAAACCCTGTAAAGTATCTTGTAATGGAGTAGAATAATCAAAGACTTGGGATAACTTCTGTGGTCACCAAGCCTGTTGTAAATGAATAACCAGGCCTTTTGTTTTGATAAATTCAATCTACTTTCCTCTGTAGCACAAGATTATACTCAAAAGCAGGTTATGTTTGCCCCCAAATTCCTAGTTACTATTGTGAAGTTAGGCTCAGACCTGACTTTTTCATATCTTTTTACCTCAGCACCTACATCCCTGGCACCGATAGAGGGCCCTTTCTACAGATGTTCAAGATTCCAAAATTATTTGATACTTTGCAAAGTAAAGTATCCAGCAGCACCAAATATTTTTCAATCTTTAAAAGGCTGAATTTAGTTCGGTCTTAGAACAAAGCAATCTGATTAAAATAATGCATACTAAAAATTGAATGGCTAATATGTTTTGCTTTGTATTGTTTGAAATTTTAGAGGAACTTTTTCTTCCCCACTTACAAGTCTTTAAAATGAAACGTGTGAGCAAGATTCTGTTTTCTTTCTTAGCAGGAATGAATGTCAGCTGTCCTTTTCGTACCTTAGCTTCTCCTTACTACCCCATTTAGAAACTTGACACCTCTCTCCTGAAATGCTGATGACATGTGATCTAAAGAATATCTTGGACACTTAGGAAAATTAAACACATAGGAAATTTTTTATTTTCCTTCCTAGTATGAAGTTTTCTATTTGTCTTTCCTTTGGGTGGGGTAAAACATTAATAACTTATACAGCGCTACTCTCTAATGTAAAATTATAAAGTAATTTATATTTAGGGATGTAGATTGTTATTTTAGATTTAATGTGTACTTATGTAATCAGTGGATGATTATGTCAAGCCTATAACATTATTTAAGCGGTCTGCCATGGCATTATTTAATGAAATAATTGGAAAAGATACTGTAAGCTATTGAAGAAAAATTTTACTCAAAGTTTAAAAAGTTCATGATGAGGCATTTGCAGCTGTAAGCAATCATATTACTGTGCCATTTGTTTTATGGAAAATAAAGACATTTACTTAAGGCTGTTAAACATTTGATTTTAATACTGCCTCCTAAGCGATACAGACTATCACTTTTGACATTGGAGGAAAAAGAGTTACTCAAATTCACTCAAGCTTTAGCTATATTGATTTATAGGATGGATTTTTGTTAACATGTCAAGTGATTCCTGTTTTATAATGAAGGCATTACTTTGAGTCAATATCAAAGTACATGTTTCCCTCAACCTTCTTGGCATTTTCTGCTTTTTGAGGTGCCAACAGTAGCAAGAAGGGGTAGTTTAAATTCCACTTTCCATAAAAAAAAATCCTGGCAGGTGTGGTGGCTCACACCTGTAATCCCAGCACTTTGGGAGGCCAAGACAGGTGGATCACCTGAGGTGGGGAGTTTGAGACCAGCCTGATCAACATGGAGAAACCCTGTCTCTACTAAAAATACAAGATTAGCAAGGCATACTGGTGTATGCCTGTAATCACAGCTACTAGGAAGCTGAGGCAGGAGAATTGCTTGAACCCGCGAGATGGAGTTGCAGTGAGCTCAGGTTGCAGTTAGCGGAGATGGTGCCATTACACTCCAGCCCAGGCAACAAAAGCAAAACAACTCTGTCTCCACAAAAAAAGAAAGAAAGAAAGAAAGGAAGAAAGAGAAAAATCCCATTTGGTAAAACATTATGTACTCTCTAAACAGGGATTCTCTTCACACCATTTTGAATTGTATGCTTCTTGCTTTGTTGCACTGATTAAACTGGGAAACAATTTTATGTGTAGAGGGTTTCTAAATCTCAGCTCTATTGACATTTAGGGCCAGATCATTCTTTTTTGTGATGGGCTGTCCTGTGCATTGCAGGATGTTGAGCAGGATCCCTGGTTTCTAGCCACTAGATGCCAGTAGCACCTTCCCCTCAGTTGAGACCACCAAAAATGTCTCCAGGCATCCCTAAATGTCCTATTGGGTATGCAGTCAGTGTCAGTTGAGAACTACTCATCTAGAAAATTAGCATATTTCTAGCAAAAGCATAACTATTTAAAAAAAAGTTTGGTCTAGAATGTTTTTCTCTCAAATGAGGAATATTTTAGATCATTATCATTTCAATAATAAATAATAATTACAGAAGCCAAAATACAGGTTTCAGATGGTATCTGTTTAGGAATGTGAATAACGTGACAGCATTTTCTGAAACAATAATTTGTAGAGACTAACAAAGGTGTTTTCTCTCATTTGTCCATTAAATTATGATATTTAGTAGTGATTGGTACACATATTGATCTCTAGATTTATTATCCTTAAACAATGCAGACACACACTTTAAACAGACTTAGTAGCAAAAAATTGCTTGTCTTATTTGGAACATTTCTCAGACTAAAGAATTTTAAGTGAAACCAACCACAACTTTGTGCTGCATATATGAGAGGGCTTCAAAAAGTCCATGGAAAAAAAGGAAATTAAAATATAAAAAATAATAAATAGAAAATTTATTTCTCAGCATCAAGGTCAAGATACTTTTGTAAGCAACAATACCAACCATTTTAGTCCATCTCTAAAGAACTAAGGGTCCTGGAAATTTTACCATGTCATTGCAGTCTTTTTTACATTATTAACTGAAGAAAAATGGGTGCCCTTTAGATATATTTTTTAAGATCAGGAAGCAAAAAGAAGTCAGAAGGAGCCAAATCAGGACTGGAGGGTAAATTCTTATTAATTTCCCATAGAGATGCTCACAAAATTGCCCTGTTCAATAAGAGGATGAGCCAGGAGCATTGTTGTGGTGATTTTTTGCTAAAACTTTGGCTAACATTCTCAAAATACTCTCATAGTAAGCAGATGCTAACTGAGTTTTGTCCCTCTAAAAAGTCAACAAACAAAATGTCTGGAGCATCACAAAACACTGTTGCCATGACCACCACTCTTGACCAGTCTGCTTTTACTTTGACTGGACCACTTCCCCCTCTTGGCAGCCACTGCTTTGATTGTACTTTGTCTTCAGGATGGTACTGGGAAAGCCATGTTTCATCTCCGGTTACAACTCTTTGAAGAAATGCTTAAGGATTTTAGTCCCAGTTGTGAAAACTTGCCTGCAAAATCTCTGCTTTTGTCTGCAGCTGATCTGGGTGCAATGGTTTTGGTAACTTTAGGGTGGAAAGTTTGCTCAACTTTAATTTTTCATTCAGAATTCTGTAAGCAGAACCAATTGACATGTCTATGGTGTGAGCTATTGTTTCTGTTGTTAATCATTGGTCCTCTTCAATTAGGGCATGAAGAAAATGAATATTTTTCTTCAGAAATTGATATGGATGGTCTGCTGCTGTGGGCTTCATCTTCAACATCATCTCATTCCTTCTTTTTTTCCCCCTTTTTAAAGATGGGGTTTCACTCTTTTCGCCCAGGCTGGAGGGCAATGGCATGATCTCAGCTCACTGCAACCTGCACCTCTTGGGTTCAAGCAGTTCTCCTTCTTCAGCCTCCTGAGTAGCTGGGATTACAGCTGCCTGCCACCAAGCCCAGCTAATTTTTGTAATTTTAGTTGTGATGGGGTTTCACCATTTTGACCAGGCTGGTCTCAAACTTCTGACCTCAGGTGATCTGCACACCTCCACCTCCAAATGTGCTGGGATTACAGGTGTGAGCCACCACATCCAGCCCTCACCCCTTCTTAAAATGAATTTTCCATTTGCAAAGTTAATCTCTTTGGGGCACCGTCCTCTAACTTTTAATCAAGCATCAGTGATTTCACCATTGTTCCACCCAGTCTTCACCATAAATTTGATGTTTGTCTTCAATTTTAGCAGAAATCATGTTTCCCTGACAGGGACTTTTTTCAAACCAATGTCTTATCTTTCTTAATGCCTCAAACTAGATCCTGTTCAGACAGGTTATAAAAGTTAGTAAGAATTTAATTTGGTGCAATATGTATTTCAAATTTTTGCATAGTTCTTTCATAATGCATATTTTCTATGAACTTTTTGAAGTAACCTCATATTTTCTCTTTGTTCATTTTACTAGCATGTTTGACTAAGATAAGTTTTAGAGGCAAAAGTATGACTTATATGGTTTTTATAATTAAGTATTTCTGTAATATTCCATATTATTGCCAATTCTCTCCAGGGAGAAGTCTTTCTAGCTCTTTCCTGAATAATTGCTATCAACTATTCATATTTATCTAAGATATTTCTGATAACTAATATCAAAACCTTAAGAATTTCAGGGTATACTATGCTTAGCAATATTACTTGGAGCTTCTATTCAAACAGCAGAAACGATTGTTTTCCTTTATGCAAAATATAAGTTACATCATGTAAAGCAGTGTTAACATTTTGGGTTAAGCCCCAAATCATAACTTCTGGGTGAGGATCCTTGAAAAAAATTTCAAGGATCAATTTATATAATCAGCAGAAGCATTCTAGCAGAGTTTAAAAATGTTTATACCTAAGAAACAGTCACTCTAGATTTATCAGTTTATTGTGCTTAAATATGAAAAATGTATACATACAACACAGGCAAAATTCACAGAATGAGTTTTGTATGAATATAGAATTATGGACAGTTTTATCCTATTTACCACATTAATTGATTAAATAAGTTTATGTAAATATGCTATCATGGGAGGCCAAGGCAGGTAGATCACCTGAGGTCAGGAATTCGAAAACAGCCTGGCCAACATGGTGAAACCCCATCTCTACTAATATTGCAAAAAATAGACAGGTGTGGTGGCACATTCCTGTAATCCTAACTACTTGGGAGACTAAGGCAGGAGAATTGCTTAAACCTGGGAGGCAGAGGTGTGAGATCACACCATTGCACTCCAACCTGGGCTACAAGAGTGAAACTCCTTCTCAAAAATATATATATAATAATATATGCTATCAGTGTTTTTCACTGGGTGAATTTTGCACCTCCCCTGAGGACACATTTGCCGATGTCTGGAGACTTTTGTGGTCACATTTGGGAGAGGTGATTTACTACTGGCTGAGGATGCTGCTAAACATCCTACAGTGTAGAAGACAACCCCCACCACAGCAATGAATGATTTTACCCCAAATAGCAAGAATGCCAAGATTGAGAAATTCTGTACTGTAGAGATGATCAGTAAAATGTTTTCTTTATTCTCCAGCAATTTTCTCGAGATGTTCTTCAGATTTGGGACATTTTGCAAATGTTAACTTGCATGCATCACTGCATCATTGGGTATGCCAACAGTCTCACTCACATATGTCATATCACAGCACAAAGAAGAGATAATCTCTTAATTGGCTCCTTATCTCATTTTCCAGAGTGTCACTTTAACTGCAATTTCTTCACGACAATTTCTCACCAGGAAACTGGCAGCTCTGATATTTATGGTCAGTTTCTTTTTTATTTTTAATTTGCTACCATTTTTGATTTTTGTGCGTACATAGTAGGTGTATATTAATAATGAGAGAATGCCACTTGTGTAGCAAATGTTTTTGAATTTTTGATGCAGACTGGTTTTGATTAACTGCTTTGTGCTTTATTTGTACTTTTTAGAATCTTTTCTTTTTGAATAATATGGAAATTGCTATAATGGCCATGGCTAAACTATGCATTTTTTTTAGTGTGATGGAAAGTTACAACTTCTTTTAACACAGGCTTATTTTTAATAGGATAACATTGAATTTGAAAGTATGTATATGTATGTAGCTATTGAAGTTCTGGGAGCTAAGATCTGAGAACTGGCAGATTTAGATGTATTTTTTTATTCAATCATTCATTTTATTGAGAAGCTACTTGTGAGTAGCATTTACTGAACTACTTTGATATCTAAAATACTACATTTTTTAGAAAAGATACTTATTTTGAAAAATGTTTGATTTTCCTGCTTTTATACTAAGTTTTACATCAAAATACCATTTTGCAACTAAATCTTTGCACAATTAAACAAATTTTTAAACAAATTAGAACTTCAGGCCAAATTGTTACATCTAGAAAACACTTAGAAATGGTCACCATTTCTCCTATTTTGTTGCTTCCAGTAAATTTCCTTCATGGCACAATTTACAAAAAGGAATAAATATTGAACATGTATTTAACATTAAAAACACCACTTACATGCATATACAGTTATGGATCTTAAAATGCAGACTTTTTTATTATATCAGTCTATGAGTTCTCTTGTGAAATATTTTTCTTTGTAGTAATAGCTTTATTTCAATGTTAGTTGGCTATATCTTTTATTCAGTGACTATTTGCTGAAGTATTTGCAGCTAGGGGCATTTTGAATGCCTAATGGGAACAAGGAGACCTTACATACAATTGGAATTATTCCATAAAGTCTGAGTATATATATGCATGTATGTACATATAGGGGTGTGTGTGTGTGTGTATGCATATACACACATGTGTGTGCATATATATATGTGTGTGTGTGTATTATACACCTATGTGTGTTTGTGTATATAAAGAGATAATTTTCTTTGAATTGAGCAAAACACACCATCTTCCTTGTCTCTGTTAGGGCACAAGTTTTTCTCCTTTTCCTTTATTCTGTTCTGATACCATAAAAGCCATTCACAATAGGTTATAGGTGGCTGTAACTTATGATTTCAGTAGTGAAATTCATCATCCCTGAGATTATTCCCTCTCTTCTCGCATGTTAATTACTGGCTTCAGATTGACTTTGCTGTGACCTTATCTGTAAAGATTTGCTTCCTTTTTCAATGTCTGCCTTTCACTTTCTGGAGATATAACCTTTGTTTCTCAAGATCTGAATGCATGGAATATGAAACTTTCTCCAGCTCCACCAGCACAAGTGACCTCTCTTTCTCTCAACCCTAGAGCTATTTATTCATTAAAATTACCAATTATATTTCCTTTTATACACATCTTGTCTCCCACTAATTGGTAGCCATTGAAGTCCGAGATAGATCCCATATTCTTTAACTTGACCCTGAGGAGATACAGGTCTAGCTTTTATTTAGGTTAGGGCTGGAATCTGAGGAACTGTGTTTCTATTGCATGCTGCAGTCATGAGCTAACAGAACCCTTAAATCAAGAGCTGTCAACCTAACACGAAGAGGCAGCCACAGAGCTGTCTCTGGGAAGCTTTATTCTTTGACTCACGTGTTCAGTATGGGTAATGTGGTTGAAACCTAGCAAAGTCAAAATTTACTTGAAGTGATATGGTGGATGTGATGCTGTAGATGATGACTGTAGACCTGAAGAAAAGGAGTTAGGAGAATAACATCTGCTTTTCTGTGTGATATCCCCTCCCCCCAGCTGTTTAGAGGATTATAAATTGCTCTGTCAAGAGTTTGTTTACAAAAGCCTGGCCAGTTCCAAAATGAAGCTTGCCTTTGAATTGTCCCTGTTTCATCTCACTGTTTAGAAAATAAATCTGAATCATTAAGATGTAAATATATAAAATGAAAAGACAAAGGCAGTGAAAACCAAGTAGAAGCAAGAAATGTACCACAATTTAACTATTCTCCTGAGGGGGAAAATGGTAATAAGTTTTGTATCTTATAATTTTATTATTATTATTTTTTTTTTTTTGAGACGGAGTTTCACTCTTGTTACCCAGGTTGGAGTGCAATGGCGTGATCTCGGCTCACGGCAACCTCCGCCTCCTGGGTTCAGGCAATTCTCCTGCCTCAGCCTCCCAAGTAGCTGGGATTACAGGCACGTGCCACCATACCCAGCTAATTTTTTGTATCTTTAGTAGAGACGGGGTTTCACCATTTTGACCAGGATGGTCTTGATCTCATGACCTCGTGATCCACCCGCCTCGGCCTCCCAAAGTGCTGGGATTACAGGCTGGAGCCACTGCGCCTGGCCAATTTTATTATTAAATTAAGGGGAGATAAATTTGAAATCAGCATAGTATCTACTTTGTGTAGTATTTAACACTATGATTTATACTGACAACTGGTAATGAATCAAAGTCAAAATATGTGAGGGTAACTGTATGTTCATTAAATTCGAGTTTGGTAATGAGATGGAGAGAATGAGAGGTATACAGGTGTAAGCAGCAGTTCTCAAAGTGTAGACCCAGAACCAGCAGCAGATGCATTACCCTGAAACATGAGAAATGAAAATTCTCAGGCCCTATGGAAAACCTACTGAATCAGAAACTCTGGGGATGGGGCCCAGTAGTCTGTGCTTCAACAAGCCCTCCAGGCAATTCTGATGCACACTCCAGCTTAAGAACCACTTCTATGTAGATGGATGGATGGTTGGATGGCTGGCTGGCAAGCAAGATATATGAGTACAATAACGTACATATATAAGTACAAGTATAGGTATGGGTATAAATACAGATATGAATGCAAATATAGATATAAATACAGATATTTGGAGATAGATATAGATATAGATATTTGGAGTTACCATCACAAGATTTTTTAGAGGAGCAAATTATTTCATTTATTATATGACTGGATAAAAGCTGTTCTTTTCTCGAGGCAATGGGTCTGTCACTTACAAACTGAGAAAATCTGCTTGTGGTTCATTTGTTGAACCTTTTTCCATTAGGTTCATTTGAAGTGTTTGTTCCATCAAGTCTGCCACCCGGGTGGTTTCCTTCACTGCAAGACTGATTTGCTCTTTTCTCCATTCTGTCCTCGTGGTGGTTGCTGTTTGCCCTGGTTCTATCCATTGGTAGAACTGATTGCTTTGGAGGTTGGATCAACAGTTGAATCCTCACAGGATTCTGAAGCCAACAATATCCTATGTCTTGGTCCATTTTTTGGAATTGCTTCATTTTTGTTTTCTCCTTCCATTTTTGTTTCTAAGCATATATAATTTATTTAAGTTTGTGCAAAAGTAATTGCAGCTTTGCTCCAGTAATTGCAGCTTTGCCCCAGTAATTGCCATTTGCCCCAGTAACTGCCAAAAAGTAACTGCAGTTACTTTTGCACCAACCTAATGATTTCAGCCAAATATTCATATGTAACACTGATTACAATGGGAATGAATAAGTAACAGCTAAATGTCTGATAAAGGGGGATGTTTTAAATATTGTAGATTGAAAAATAATATACTATTTGAAAAGAAAATTTCAATATGCAAAAAATATGTAGGATGAAATTCATGAACATAATGATTGACTGGGATTATGAATGATTTTAATTTTACTCATTTTGTTTATTTTTATATTTTAGTTGTAAGCTCAAATTGCTGTTGTAAGCAAAGATAATACATATTTATATATATGTTATATATATATATATATAAACAGTAAAATAAATTGATTGTATTTTTTTTCTTCCTCTCCCCACTATACCATGAACTTAAAGGCCAAAAATTATGTCAGCTGTATCTTTTCATCATTTGTCATGTCAAAAGCAATATTCCTGGCTGGTAGAATTAAATGACAACTCTGCTTTTGGAAATAACAGGAAGTCTGCTGTAAATAGATTATTGATATAGACGTTAAAACCACATAGAATTGCCATTTATGGAGAAGGGAATATTTAAGGATATGTGGCTATAAGAAAATATTTCTCTTTGCTTTTAACACAAGATGTAAGGTGACTTGTCATGCTCAGGATACGTTTTGAAGTGGATAATGGCACTTTCCCTAATATTTGGAGGCACAGGGCTTGATCCTGTTTTGAAGGCCCTCCTTTGAAGATGACATAGACATTGGTTTTAGCTTAATTCTTCTTCCCTAAAATTCCTTCCTTTCTAAAATTTTATAATTCCATAACAAGAGTGTATAAGCAGTAATTATTTAGTGAAAAAATGAGCCATTCTACTTGTCATCCTTCATGTAAAGCTGCACTATGGAATCCTGCTCTAAAGTGTGGCTGGGTTCATTTCTCCAAGCAATATGATGCCCTGGAAGAAAGCAATGTGCAGTGGCCTGTGATGCTGGACCCTGGATCAGTTTGAAACCTTTGGCTTATAATAACAGCAAAATCCACTTAAATCAGCTTAAAAAATTAGGAATTTTAGAAGCTTACGCCACCAAAATCCGTAAGTATGTTGGGTTTCATCCAGTGACCTGATCTTTTTCCTGCAATCCTCTTCATTTTATGTCCCTCTAAGTATCACTTCTAAGCCGATAGCAAGAGAACCTGTGGCAGTTTGGGGATATATATGGCAGTGGGTAAGCTAGTGGTTCTCAACTGTGGGTGACCACCCCAGGGGACATCTGGCAAAATCTGGAAACATTTTTGGTTGTCACAACTGGAGAGATGCTACTGGCAGCAAGTGAGTAAAAGCCAGGGATGCTTCTAAACATCATCAGTGTACAGGACAGCGCCACAAGAGAGAGTAATCCAACCCAAAATGTCAATAGTGCTGAGTAACTCTGGTGTAGAAGAAGAAAGGTTTCCTTTGTCTATATCTCTCATTTACATTCTAGAAACATTTCCAAAAGCTTCCAGCTACATTTCCTTCATATGCTTCATATGCTGTTGCCTATAGTATAGAAGGCTTTAGGCCTGGGTTCTGAGATCAATCATGGGTAGGGAGCAGTATTACTAAGATCAGCTCAACGAGTTCCAAAATGCATGTGGAATGTCCACACTATACACTGTCTACTAGAACAATAAATGCCCATCATGTAATACTAGTATTTTGTATTAGCAAGATAGGGGAATTCAAACATCATTACTATTCAGCCCTAAAAAAGAAGGAATTCCTGTTTTGAACCTGAAGGACACTGTATTAAGTGAAATAAGCCAGGCACAGAAAGTAAATACAAATACTGCATTTTTCACTTACATGTGGAATCTTAAAAAGTTGAACTCATAGATGCAGAGACTAGAATGGTGCTTTCCAGAACCTGGGGGTGGGGCTGGGGGTTGGAGAGATGTTGCTCAAAGGATACAATATTTTACTTAGACAAAAGGAGTAAGTTCAAGAGATCTGTTGCACAACATGGTTACTATAATTAATAGCAAAATGTATTTTATTTTGAAAATCACTAACAGAGTAGATTTTAAGTATTCTCACCACAAAAAGTGATAGCTGTGTAAGTAATGCATATGTTAATTAGCTCAATGAAGCCATTTCACAATTGTATATGTATGTCAGTACAATTTTTATTTGTTAATTTTAAAAAAATCCTGTGAACTGCTAATGAATAAACATACTCTCTATAGTAATTTAAATCCTTTCTGTGGGATTTGGGGAAGTCTTTCTTCATCTGTGTTTTTTCTGGGTTATCTGCATTAATATCTTTCTAGAAAAGGATATGACTGGAAGTGGCTTACTGACAATATGAAGATTTTCCCAGGAGAAATTACCTTCAACCAAGAAAGATGACTACTTTAAACAAGGGCTTTGCAGAACTATCTCTTTACTGAGTCATTCAGCAATCCAGGTGAGAGATGATGTTAGCTTGGACCAAGATGGAACCATTGAAATTATAAGAAGAGGTCAGATTCCGGCATGCTTTGAAGGTACAGCCAACAGGATTTACTGACAGATTGACTATGGATTATGAAATGGACCCATTGGTGATACAGAGTAGAAGTTTTGACCTTATCTACTGGAAAAATTGAGTTGCTATTGACTTAGATGGGGAACACTATAGAGAAGCAGATTGAGAAGAAGCTGAAGAACTCGGGGAATTCGAGAAAAAAATGTCCTAGTTGGAAATATAAAGTAGGTAACTATGAGCACATAGATGTCATTTTATGATATAAGGTTGATTGAAATCTCCAAAGAGGGATTGCAGATGAAACATAAAGGAGATCCAAGAACAGAGTGTGGTCAATTCCAACGTTATGTTACATTCAGAGAGATGATAGACACTCAAGAGAGTGTGGCACCCACAATGCTTGTTGCCATATTTGTTAATTGACGTCAAAAACATGGCTGGTTGTTTCATTTTTGTTTTTAACTTAAGCTCTTTCAAATTCTGGAACTTGGGTATCTACCTAAAAGAGAAAAAAAACAGCCTTCTTTGTCTTTTGAGCAATCCAGGAAGCCTCTTCCTGCTGTCAATTATTGTTTTTCTTAACATTATCCATTTATCATCTAAAACAGGGGTTCCCGACCCCAGGGCTGCAGACTAGTACCAGTCCATGGCCTGTTAAGAAGGGGGCCACACAACAGGAGGTGAGCAGTGGGTGGGTGAGCATTACTGCCTGAGCTCTGCCTCCCGCCAGATCAGTGGTGGCATTCACTAGAGTCTCATAGGAGCCCGAACCCTATTGTGAACTATGTAAGCAAGGGATCTAGGTTGCATGCTCCTTATGAGAATCTAGCTCATGCCTGATTACCTGAAGTGAAACAGTTTCATCCCAAAACCATTCCCATCCCCCAACCCCCAGACTGTCTGTGGAAAAATTGTCTTCTGCAAAAGCAGTCCCTGGTGCCAGAAAAGGTTGGGAACAGCTAATCTAAAAGATAGCCAAGTTATGGGCTAGGGAACTTACCTTCCTTTTTTTTCATCTGGGTAGTAGTTCATGCTGCCCCTCAAGGGTGAGAATTGCTCGCACAGTTCACATGCCTGCCCTTTCTCTCAATCTGTGCATGCAGGCTAACAAAAGGTATTTTTCAGAGACGATTTATTTTACCAGAAAGATTACTGATAATTTGCATTTATGGACACTTGGTGACCTTATCAATATTTTTATGTTTTCTCTTTTTTCACTTTTAAGTTCAGGGGTACAAGTGCAGGTTTGTTACATAGGTAAACTTGTATCATAGGGTTTTATTGTACAGATTATTTCCTCACCCAGGTGTTAATCCTAGTACCCATTAGTTGTTTTTCCTGATCCTCTTTCTCCTCCCACCCTCCACCCTCTGAGAGTGCCCAGTGTGTGTTGTTCCCCTCCAGGTGTCCATGTTTTCTCATCATTTAGCTCCCACTTGTAAGTGAGAACATGCAGTATTTAGTTTTCTGTTCCTGTGTTAGTTTGCTAAGGATATACACCATGGAATACCATGCAGCCATAAAAAAAGAATGAGATCCTAACCTTTACAGGGACATGGATGGAGCTAGAGGCCATTATCCTTAGCAAAATGTTTTCCCTTTTTGTGAGACATTATCTTGAATGTCTCGGAATTCAACCACAAATTTAAAGAGTGAGCATTGGATATCTATTGTAAAATTTTCTAAAGGAACATACATAAATCTAGCTAAGAGAAAAATAGTTTTCAAATTTTATTTTTCACAAGAAAAAGTTCTGTATTGATCAATTTGGGACTGGACTCCAGTTGGTCCATTTCATCCATCCCACACCATTATCTGATTGCAGGGCAGAGGATCCACAAGCTGTTCAGGAGCTCATACAAATTTCTGCAAGCTGAAAAGGAAATTACTGATTCCCAGGGTACTAATGTAAATACTTACCTATATATCTAAAAACATAGCAAATATCAATTTCATTGTCAATTAGTATTTTTAGCAATCTCATCACATGTAAAAGCAATTTTTATGTACATTTTATTCTCTTAACAAGTATTCCTGAACATACATAATAATTACTTTAAAAATCACAGCCAAACAAGAATCTGCTGAATTACTTATTGCCAAATCATGTCAAAATCAAAATTGTAAAAATTCTTGATAATACACGGAGATGGACCTCAAAAGTAATTGCCTAAAATAGTTCAGAGCTCTTGGGACTCTACTTTTGACAAAAAGTATCCCCAGGTGATTCTATACTTGATCTTTTGCCCACACTTGGAGAATCTAAGGTCTATGTGGGGATGTTTCATATAATCAAAACATACTTATCTTCCTTCATTTATCCAAATTCTTAGCATCTAAATCTAGCATGTTAGCATTATCCTAGATTATAGAAATACAGTGATAAGCAGTCTTTCTAATTGTGAGGCCTCCAGCCCAGTAAGAGAGACAGCCAGTATACAAATGCACAAGCAAGTGAAATCAATTACAAGTTGAAATGAGTGCTAAGAAGAAAATCAATCATGTGTTGAGATCAAGAAGCCAGGAAACATTAACATCAGATTGGGGACGTCAAGGAAGGCTTTCTGAGCAGGTAATATTTAAGCAGAGACCCAAATAAAAAGGAGTCAGACCTGTGACTGATGCCTTAGGAAAGCACTTCAGACATAGGAAACAGCACAGGTAGAAACCCCTAAGCAGGA